TCTATAAATAGAAAGACAAAAGACTGGCGTGATTTGTAACGTTTGATTGTTTCACATTCATCGATATCGCTTATGTCAGAGTAAAAGAGTTAGATGAAAGCACTGCATTTTTACAGATTGATTCGTACTCAGCCACTCATTTGGGTTACCGATCTACTAACTATATTAAATGTTAGCTGACTAAATAAAAAAAAATGCTGCAAGTTATGCATCAATAAAAAAATCGGTTCCTAATACGAGTGAAATGACACTTATACAAAGAAAAGGTGATTGAACCGACGATTCATTGCACGGAATGATGAAATTAACACTTAAATAGTACGGAAACGAACAAAATACAACTGAGAAGAAAAAAAAACAAAAACATATACATTTCAACATTTATATTAACGATTGGGTCAAAGAATTAATTTTTACGAACTTGAAATATATTCTGAGAATGTCGATGTCAGAGTATAAAAGCTATTCAGAACAAGCGGGTGCTCGAGGTAATGAATTATTCTAAAAAGAGGACGACCCATGATACCTTCAATCACAATCTCAACTAATATCGCAGAAATGATACTCATCAAAGCGTTTTTTTCTATTTCAGTGTCTCTATTACCCAATTTCTATTTTTACTTGCTCCTCTGACAAGGAAAGATTTATCTGGAGTATATTGTAAAACTATTTTATGATGCATTGCTAAAAAAGATAGTAAATCACTTGATTCGTTGCAGAACATTGACGACTGCAAAATGTGCGATATTAACTGTGCAATCGAAGAAGAAGGAAAACAAAATGAATCATTCTCGATTTTGATGCATAACCTATTTGTTGGTTTTGTTTGAACGAAATTAGTGAATGCACAGAGGAACAATGATTCCTCCATCATTATGATACATATGCAGGCATCTTAATATTAACAGAGAAGGTAAATAACGCGTTATATTTCAATAGATTTTTGTTAAGTTAACATGGTTTACTCATTTTCGAGGTCATTAAAAAGCGTTGTTGATCTTCTATTTTGTCAATGTAGACTTGATTTTTCTCCTAGTGACGTCAAACTTAAATATATCCAATCCCACAGGATTATTTTTGCTCGCTTTGTAATGATAGAATCTTCACAATTTTCAATACTTATAAACGCCGAAACGAAAATACAATAATTTCAACAGGTTTTAAAAGAAGTCAATGATCAAATAAATGAAAATGTGGATGTCGGCTTGGGGTTGGCCGTAGATGTTGGATTGATGTAACTGCAGAGAAAATAAAGTAACACACATGCACATCTGCACTTAAGTCGATAATCGAATCTTAGTAAAGCCAATTCCCAGAAGTGTTCATAGTGAAACAGACTTTTTCACAGAATTTCTTCGAGCCCTTCGTTAGATGTTTTTTATCCTGTAGTCATCAATGATCTTACCATCATAAGTAGTGCAGTAACATAAATGGCAGACAGACGGACTGAGGATGGGTGTGGGATGTGCATTGCGGGTATTAGTCTTGTCTTCACCCACACCCTACTCGATAAATCAACCAATAGATCGGTTAACATTGATGTTTCTTGCTCATATTTGTATTCTTTTTTGAAACTAACCAATTTATCATACATATATGCATTAAGACATGTTGAATCATTTTGTGAATACATTTTCTTTTCTTCAGCAACCATTCTTTTTAAAACAGACAAAATTGGATCTGCTTGATTTGATACATTCTAAATTTTAGCATAGAATTTATCGAATTCTATGATTGCGATTTTCAGTTACTCGACAGTTGATTCCTTTTATTGGAGAGTTCGTATTGAATATAGTAGTCGATTGAAACATGATTTTCACAAACACAATCAAATTTATTACATTGATTCGAATCAATGTGTCAATCATATTCAAAAATGCAAAAGTCGTTGTAACTTTTAAAAGTAGGTTCGCATGTATAGCAAATAGATGACCAATGGCGAAGAGAAATCGGATTGAGTTCTTTTATAAGTTGCCTACTTGGATCTCTCTGTAATGAAATGATATGTTGAAAGAGATTTCTTATAGTTTCCAGCATTGAATGAATCATTTGATTGATTTTTTATTGAGTATGTTCAATTGATCGCCATTCATTTTCAAGATAAAGTTTGAGTTCTCTTCCAAAAATATATTGAAGAAGACCATTTGCTTCAATGACTGAGTTTGTCCGACTTTGTTGATATTCATCGTCTTGATATTTATCGAATTTGATTCCATTTTGTAAAGCAATTACGTAGATAACGAAATGACTCACGATTGAAACAAAACGTGTTTGATTTGTTGAAAGGAATATCTTTGATTGAACATGATGAAATCATTTCTTTCAGTGGAGGGGCCGTGTGACCGGGAGTAAAAAACATTGCTCGAGAATTTATGAAACAAAAGATAATAATTATCACGAGCATTTTCACCTAGAAAGTTTAATAAATGATCAAAATATGAACGAAGAATGATATTCAATCTTGATTCACTGGGTTTAAAAAGAATACAAATGGCATTTAAACATAAAAGATTACTGATATATGAAATAATATGTTGCATGTTAACATCATCTTGAGTAAGACCACGTGTATCTCCAATTGCACGTGTGTCAATCATTCGTACTTCCATTTGAGTATTCAAAAGTGGAAGAACATATGATCTACAATTTTGAGTTACTGATTGTCGTGGATGGTCAATATCTTCATTAGAATCTTCATTGCCGAATTTAATAATTTTTTCTTCAAAATGATCACCGATAGTCATCATAAGTGAGGCAGGCATAGCAACTAGAGGTTCACTCGAATGAGGCTTTTCAAAAAGATTCAAATGCGATATAATTGACAAGTACATTGATGAAAGTGGATTTTCCAACGCCAGATTCACCTAGAAGAAGAAAAACATTGATATGTTTGCCAGCTATCAAGCTAAATGAAAGGTGTGAGTGTGAGTGTTGATATTTTACTTGTATCATCTTAATCCACCCATATCCTGTCTAATAATAACATCTAGTGAGGAATCTAAAAGATGGAATAATATACAATATAAAATTAATTGAATATATATCATTTGTATCAACAGGAACAATTCGAAAATAGATGTGTTGATAAAGGTGGACTATTTATCTTAACAGCAGAATCAAGATCGAATACTATAATATAAAACAATTAATTTTAAATAAAGAATATTTCTAAAAGTTCTGAAACCATATTAAAATTCATCGTTTTCGTATTCGATCGAAATCAAAGTATTTTGTTCGGGACTTTGACACACTACTGTACGTATTTAGTACTAAGCATCGAATAAAAAACGATGAGATCTTTTTTAGATCGAACCAAAAATAGAGATTCAAATATTGAACAAATCTCCTTCATCAACATCATCATTTATATATGATACTTGAAATTTTTCAACATTATGTCTTAACTAAGTAGTTTGAAAATCCATTTCGTATGAATGGCTTAATGCTAATAAAAATGTAGAAGATTGTTGTCGATAAGAAATTGATAATGCTATTGAAAAACGTTGCTCAGAATGTTTTATTGATAATATTGAAAAATCCATTGATTGCTTGTCATCGACATGAATACATAAACGTAGAATTTAATCCAATAATTTATCAAACTGTTTCTTTAAAAATATATAATATAAATTTCATTTTAATTGTTGTTATCATTGTCTTTCTGAAAATAATGAAATCTGAGTATTTATTTTATTTTACCTTTCAATAAATAATGAATATCAATCGAGAATGTATATGTATTTGCCATTGAACATATCAGCACTAATTTCTTTTTGTTTCCCTCTCTGTTTTGAGTTGTTGTTTTTTGTTCAGCAACATCTCTATTATCTTCTCTCTCAGATCATGATATAAGCATAGCTCAATACAGACTAAATGACTATTCCAACTTACAATAATATTCATAGATTGTCAATTTTTTTTTCTATTCAAACAAAGTTTTTGATCGCTATACAAAACAAAATCACTAACCCTACTTATCATGTGCATTGCATACTTTTGTTTTATTGTTGATATTTCAAGTGCTTAATAAAATATTAAAAAAAAAGATTCTTACGTTTTTGTTGATACTTTGTTGAAGAACAAAAAAATTGTCTTCATGTAAGCATTGAAAATGTTTTAATAATCCAAGATAAATTCATATTTTGTTCATCGCAAATGAATAATAACCGATGGTAATAATCTAGAATAAAGAGAAATGGTTTCTGAAGTTTTATTTTATATTCTCTTAAATACACTACTTAATAGTAGGGTATGGGTGTGATTGTTCGTTCATAGTCTCTTGACACCCACCCCTCTGTTTGATCACTCTATGTAATAAATTCAAGTAACACAAACTAATTAACGTAATAGAAGAAGCTATTGAGACTTTTTGGGATCTATTTGGTTTATCTGAATCAATGTGTATATCTTTTAACAGCATTTAACACATTGCAGTTGAAATTAGGCGAAACAACCATTCAGAATAATTAATACTCTTTCGGACTAGCTGTTAAACGCTCGAATAAATATGAAGATTTATAGATAAATCTCGAAAACGTAAGTTTCAGGAAGCTATTTGGTTCGACTATTTTCTTCAACCATTTATCAAATTGTTTTTCGAAGTATAATTCATCATCGAAAATAGATGAAGAGAACGAAAAATTGCCTGCGATTTAGAATATAAACATAATAACTCATATATTGATTATGTCATTATATTTTATGTCATTTTCTCAGTAATCATCTTCTACTTTTTTATTGAACATTTACTTTAAAGAGTGAAGAATATAGATGTATCTGTGAGGAAGTTAATAGCTACAATTAATGCTATAGATATTGAATAGCATTATTTTATGATGCTATTAATTATGCATAATTTGCATCTTATGCGAAATTTGTACATATATAACAAGAAACTATAAATAAATAAAAACGATTGGAATATAAGGTATGTAATGAGTAGAAAAAGAAGTATACAAAAGACATTCAAATAAACAATGGTTTGATTTGAATGAGGTAAAGTAATTTGATAGTTTTTTTTTGTTCAAAGGAAATTGAAGAAAGAAATAAACAAAATATGAGTTAATATGACACTTTTGCAGCAAATTTTAGTACTTATAAACAAAATGGTATCATATTAATAGTAAATTGATACAATAATTATTCTATTTTTACATTATGCAACACCATTCATAACTTAATAATAAAGTACTGAGATACATATCTTCATAACCCAAAATCAATTAAACTTAAATAATACATACGTATCGAGATTAAAAGAGTTCTGAAATGTATATTGAATGACGAGCTATTTTTCAGCATTCAATAAATTCAAAAAAAAATTGAATATGTTTCAAAAATCGATTGATATTTATATCTAATTAAAAGTTTTTAGTAGAATAAAGGAAGTATTCTTTTCGAATAAAAATATATAAATTGAATTTGAAAGTTCTTCCAACTGGCTATATACAGGGTGGCCCAAAAGTCATGTTACCCAAAAAAAATTGAATATCTCCATTAGGACTTGAGCAAACGGGGTGATTTTTTTACCAGTGATAGAGGCATATACAAACTTTATATCCATACAG